GACTCGACTAGAGAGAACAGAGGCAATGACATAGCGTTGGGGGCAGAGGGTTGGGGAGACGGTGAAGGTAGGAGGTAAAGGAGTGACGAAGAGAAATGCGTCATTATATGCTCCCGATCTTCAGCAGTTGATTACATAAGCAACTATAATATGAGTCGTCAACTGATAGAACATTTCAATTATTGTATTTAGGTATAAAATAAAATTATTGATCTACTTTGTAATACAGTAAAAAGAAATATGACATGTATATAGCTTTCTAAACATACTAATGTAATTATTACAAGTAGATGAAATGCCTTTTACAATAATTGTAAACTGCTTGTATAAATAATCTAAGTATGATATACATTAATATACCTTTTGTATAAATTATAAAGCAACAATAGTAATTATTACATTATTATATTATAAGTATAACTCTTTCTTTAAGATTATAATTTAAATATAATACAAGCATAACACTTTAGGTTGTTATATAAAGTTAGTATAATACATGTAATAGATTTTTATTCATCCCTAGTACTTATGTAGTCTTTATATACATTAATATGTCTTATTTAAACATTGCAATTCAATTACAAGCCTTATAATTACTTTATAATGTATATACAATACATATGTTACTTTACAAAGTCTATAAGAAATTACAAGAAATCTGACTTTTTCCTGATGATGCTGATATTCGGTACAATAATTTGTGCAGAAAAGGTGTAGTGAATCGGGTACAAAGATCGAAAACGTTGGACCATGTCTTTGGTTTTCCTTACACACTGAATTATTCCTCCTGATATTGAGGGAGGAGAATCATGTGTGTGAGAATGAAGAGGAAAACTACAACATTAGTGCTGGAAAGTGAGAAGTATCAGACGCTTGCACGGATGAGGAAGGACACTCGGTGTGGCCTAGACGTGACAATGCCTAGCTCGGTTTGCTAGCAAACTCGGGCTTTCTCTAGTGCTTTGTCATTGTTGTTGCTGTCATTGTCACTACTGTTGTTCCCTCCTTCCTCTCACACTCAACTCATGTACTTACTCAGGACAAAAGGAAGAAAATGGCTGTGCTAATCTGGTCAGGCCACAGTATAGATAAGCAATGTTGTATAATATTAGAACAAGAAGGGTGACAAAGCCTGCAAGATAATAACAAATGAACAGTAAGTTAGGCAGAAACCAAGCAAGGTTGTCAAGCACTAAGTATATCTTTGTCATTTAAGCCTCCTGCTTGAGTTCCTGAAGCAAATTAGCTCTGTTTGAAGTAGAAAGGTTCAAGTCGATTTACCTTCAGCAAACTCAAGGTTGCAAACTGTTTTGTATCCACAAGTGCTTCCATTATTCATCTCTCTCATCCCTTCTTCCTTCAGATTAAGTAAGAGATAGCTTGCAAGAATGCAGGGAACTGTGGTGTTCCTTGAAGCAGTCATGGCTGCTGTAACAAATGAACCAATATGACTGATTTCCAGAAGTTCCACTACATGTGGTATGCAACAGAATACCATTCTGTAATATTTTAGATGAAATATTGTATGAAAAGTAATTCACTTACAGACTGTTATATAAAATTTGGTCTCTAATAAGGACTCTGACAAGACAGAATCCTTTGAAACCAGAGGACATTCTCCAGTACTCTACTACTTTAATAAGTGCCAGACAAAGTAAAAATGTCTCATACAGTAGAGGAGATAACCTGTACTGTGTTAAATAGGCTCAATATATAGAGGAGTAATTCTTACCAGGACAGAATTCTTAACAATTGTAGCAGATTTCTGCTGACTGAACAAATTTCAATACTCTGTGTAAGTTGGTGAACAGAAACTAGAATAGACAGCTTGTCAGTTTTCTTATCTGAGTCATTTGAGCCAAAATATTTCTTGAGTCCTACTTTGTCCAAACAAATTTTTGTAAATTATGGAACTGAACATAAAGACTACTACTGTAACAAGGAGAATCTTGAGGCATATTGAAAGTTTCTTGTCTAAAAAGGTTGTATTAGATTACATATCTTCAATAATCTTACTGGACTTACTTTTCTTGTAAAGTGCTAAGGTACAAATTTGGAGGTTATCTATAATATAGAATAGTAATGTGTTCATATTCCTCTCAATTCTCTTGAGAGGATTTCCTCACAGTTGATAAGAACAATTACAATCCAGCCTATTACCCAGTTTACATTTCTTCTAATCTAATAAATAGGACAACTCACCATATAAGTTAGTAATCCATAAAGTCCATTAACCTAATGTTGTTCAGGTCAATAATATGTATAGAAAGCAGAAGGTACCATGTACAGCTGTAATAAATGTTAAAATGAACTTGAGGTCAGTATATGTATATTTGTAAACATTGCTTGATTATACCTTAGAAGAGTTTGCTTAAGACTGGCACCTAGTAGTGTGTCAAATCTTAAGCTTGGAAACATGTAAATACTTGATTACTGATTACAAAGCATATAGCTCCAAGGATTCTAATGTAGTGATTCTATTCAAGTTAAGGGGAGTTCATCCACAACATAATACAGTAGCTCTTACTACAAAATAAAGCAAACTAATAAAACTAGTTAGCTTAGGCTTTATTATCATTAATTAGTTTTAGGCACACAACATTAGTAAGTATTAAGCTCACCCAAATATATTTAATTTGCACCAACACAGCTCAGTAAATGACACAGGTCTGAGAGATGAGTAGACAAGTACTATACCTCTTTATCCATTGTTGTACCTTTAGAGGTTCTGTTAGTAAAGTTCTGGCTGAATGGTTTTAAGAACAAACAAGCATAATATACTAAGACTGTTAGTAGTACAACATTAAAGTACTGTGTAGTGACTTCTTCAGAGACAGATTGTAAGACAGATCTTGAATCACTAGTCACAACAGGCTGACAGCTAATTGTGTGAATAATGTGTGGGTATTGCTGTAGTCAAAGGCCTGGTTTGCCATTAAAGCAGAGAATGCATAACAAAGGCTATACAAGACTACTAGAAGATGTCTTGTTGTTTTATAATGTCTGTTGATTTGATCTGTAATATAAACTGTACTTATGCTTCACCTGTATTTGATGTAGGATGACAGTACTCTAGCTGAAACATGATCTTGTCAGATATAAGATGATACAATAGTGTTGGAGATGTGCCACCAACAAAAACCAATGATTTCTATTCATTAAGGCATTACTGTAAATATTGCAAATAAGTGTTTAATGGCTGGGTATAGTACAAATTGTTAGAGTGTTTCTATGATAGCACCTTTCTATCAAGTAATTGCACTCAAAGTGACTTACCATTCATGTCAAATGCTACACTACTACTTAGATTTGGCTCAAACCATTCTTTACTTCCAAACAATAGTGTACTATTGTCATCTATTCCTGCCACCATCTTGCTTCAATTCTATACTGTCAAGCTTCTGTTTAATGCCTGAATCTGTGTCAGCCTTGTGTTTCAGGTTTTGCTAGTTGGAAATAATATTGTAGTATTTTAAAGCAAGGCACTGACTATTTGCATAGTTGAGGGAGGTTTTTTCAGAGGGAACAGAGGAACACCTGGTGTGGGTGTAACAATCTCAAGCAAGAAATATGGTTGTAAGTCCAGTAATGATTAATAATACAAGGCTCACCTACAATATATTTTCCAGTAAAAAATAGACACCTTCATTTTGAGTGCTCACTTGGTTGATTGAAAGCAAATAACTCTACCAAAAACCTGGATTTCATTTGTAGAAACAACAGTCACTGATTCATTTTACAAAATGTGTTTAGCCTGGTTTTGAGTGGCAGGTGTACTGACTAGTTTCACCTGTACAGGAATTGATCCAATTAGATAATTCATAACTAGTCAAACATGATATTCTACCAAAAACGAAATTAACTAAAGATCTGTACAAGCTGACAGTGGCACCAACAACAGAAAGCTGCTCAAGTGGTCCAACAATGTTGCTACAACAAACAGGGCTTCCTATTGCCAACAAAGTGTCTAGTGTCAAACTCATGATGGCTCTGACAGACATAGACGTGCAGGTACTAGGGATAAAAATGTGTGTACTTAGATTTTATTCTGCGTCCCAGATTCCAATGTAAGCATGTTACTAAGACTGCATATTAAATGACCAATAGTTTGAATTGAAGGTAAATAGACCAGAAATTCAACCTTTATTTTTTTCATTTGAGAGCCACCGTCTGATTTATCTAAAAAAGATAGGCAGAGGAGGGATGAGTCAAGTAAATAATCATAAAGTAATATAGTGAGAACACTGTGAAGGTTGTAGTATCGGATGTTTGTACGGATGAGGAAGGGGACCCCGTTGTGACACAGATGTGACAACGCCTAGCTCGGTTTGCTAGCGAACTCGGGCTTTCTCCAGTGCCTCGTCGTCGTCGTCGTCGTTGCTGTCGTCCCCTCCTTCCTCTCGCACTCGACTCACGTACCCACTCACAGCAGAAGAAAAACCATGGCCGCGCTTGCACCTCCTTCAGATGGCATTGGTATCGCTAACTTGCCCAACCAGGTACATCTCCACGCGTCTTCCCTTTTTTCACGCTCTGAGAACCGAAAACCCAAAATCTGTGCAATGCCACCTTTTCCAGAGACATAAAATCGTCGCCAAGCGCGGTGCACACTTCACCGTAATGGTGGTTGGCGAGTCCGGGTTGGGAAAGACGACCCTCATCAACACGCTCTTCGCAACCGAACTCTCCCCTGCGAAGAACTACTCCCGGAGGCACCAAAAGCAGCTCGACAAGCTCACCGAGGTCGAGATCATCAAGGCTGAGCTAGAGGAGAAGCAGTTCAAGGTCAAGTTAACTGTGATCGACACGCCAGGATTCGGGGACTATGTGAATAATCGGGACTCGTGGGTCCCGATTATTGACTTCGTGGACGACCAGCATGAGACGTACATGCGCCAGGAACAGCAGCCCCAGAGGACAGAGAAGAGTGACTTGAGGGTACATGCGTGTTTGTATTTCATTCGTCCGACGGGTCATACGTGAGTCGTGATTTCGGCGTGTCCTGACCTTGGTTGGAAAACTCACTTTTGTTAAATAGTCTCAAGCCTCTTGATATTGAGGTGATGAAGCGTTTAGGAACGCGCGTCAACCTCATCCCAGTCATCGCCAAGGCCGACACACTCACGCAGAACGACCTTGCTATCTTCAAGAAACGCGTAAGCGACGCACACACCGTCTTCCTTCTGCAACTTCCCCTCATTTATTTTGATTAGATTCGCGAAGTCATCGCTGTCCAGGGCATCCGTATCTACCAGCCTCCTGTTGACCCAGAGGACGAAGCCGCTGCTGAGCATGCGCGTATTCTGGCCGACGCAATTCCGTTCTCTATCATTGGTAGTACTGAGGACGTCAAGACACCTGACGGCCGCACTGTCAAGGGACGCGAGTATCTGTGGGGTGTGGCAGAAGGTTCGTCCATCTCTTCACTTCTCTTCGTTTCCTACTAAGCCTTTCAAACCCCATTCTGACTCTTTTCTTCCCATTTTCCTCATTGATTAGTTGAGAACGAAAACCACTGCGACTTCCGCAAGCTTCGTTCTCTGGTCATTCGTACACACATGCTCGACCTCATCTCCACGACGGAAGAGCTGCACTACGAGAACTACCGCCAGCAGCAAATGGAGACTCGCAAGTTCGGCGAGCCAAAGGTCAAGAAGCTCGATAACCCCAAGTTTAAGGAGGAAGAAGAGGCGTTGAGGAAGCGCTTCACGGAGCAGGTCAAGGCGGAGGAGGCCAGATTTAGGCAATGGGAGCAGCATGTACGTCTTCATTCCTCTCTTTTCTCTGGTTGAGTTGTATGATTGGGGCTGACTGTATCTTATTAACACATGGACAGCTCATCGCAGAACGCGATAGACTCAACAAAGACCTCGAACTCGCACATGCCGAGATCAAACGCCTCGAAGCCGAGCTGGACAACCTGCAAGTCGGCTATGGACGGAGCTCTGCGAGGAGGTAAATTGGGTAGACGTCCTGCTCCCCTGCTCCCCTGCTCCCCAAGGTTGGCAGGGAGGATCCCAGATCCACTTCTACCTTCTCGCCAAGCCCAACTCCACGTGTCGGTATGCCTTTACTACCACGTGTTGGAGAATCATGTGGCGTTATAGTCTTGTGTGTCCAGAAGAACACTTGTCTCTTGTCTTTCTCGTCGTGCCGTGCTTTCTTCTATCTTCTATCTCCGTACTAGCTTTCTTTCTTTTCCTGCCGTCTGGCCGATTTTGATTTTGTTATTTCTCGTGTGTGCCGAGTGGGTCTTGATAAGGGACACATTTTCCTTTTTCCCTCTCTTAGTATTTCTTTTTTTTGTTATTACCGATATATCGAGACTCGTGAAAAATCATACCCCGTGTTTCCTGCTTCTGCGTTTCTGCGTTCGTTAGTAAGTAGTAACACCTCTCGTCGCTCCTTCCATGTCTTGTTTTCTCTTTTTCCTTCTCTTTATCTCTTTGGTAACTTGTCAGTACGTCGGGTTTCTTTACTATGCGATAATGTTTTTGTCGTTGAAATCTCATACCTGGCTGTTTTTGGCTGTACGTTTGGCTGGCCTGTCTGCTTGGTTAAGTCTTAAGATGCTCAAAGTCATTTCGTGGTCTGACTTTGAGAAGGTAACAAGCTATCAAGTTCTCATCTTTACAAAGTCAATTGTGCAAATTTAATTTTCTTGTGAAAGGTACATGTGGTACAAAAGATAGACGTAAAAGATCGTTAGATACGCATACATGCAGGTTTTTGTTTGACAGAAGCAAAAGCTTACCACAGGAGCAAGTGGGATGCAGGATGTGTAATGTGAATGGGAAGTGGGAACAGTTGCATGGTTGCGAGAAGTAAAGCGAAAAAAAGGGGGGGAGGAATGATAAATTTGAGAAAGACGAGAAGGACGTTGCGAGATTCTAGAGAAACCTGCTTCTGTACCATATTACACACAAATTCAGATCAAAATGGATGTTGGAAAGGGAAGCCATTAAGAAATAAGTGAGGGCAAAGCACGGAGAAGGGGGTATGAAAGCAAGAATCGTAACCGGAAAGCTCGACAGCAATAGCAAGGCAAAGCAATAGCAAGGCAAAGCAAAGCATACGAGAACGGTGGAATCTTCGTCTATCATCTTCAAGTCACCTGTCTATCTCCTCCTCTTTGTCTCCTTTTCTAGTTCCTGGCAGTCCCGTCCGCCGCACCCAAGTTCACAGCAGGCTTATACAACTCCTTCACACCCGACATATGCGGCTGCTGCGGCGAAGGCGGAATGAACCCACTCGGATGTTCAACCCTCCCATTACTCGTCCTCACCTCTTGCGGTACCTTCGCACTCCTCGTCGTCTGCTCAGCAGTAGCCAACTCTTTCAAGTCTGCAAATGTTAACACGCTTTCCGGAATCCCGCGTTTCGCCAAATCTTCTGGACGCAGACGTGTTTCGGATTGGAGGAATGATGGAGGGTCGCCTGGGGCGGGGACGACGAAACCACTTGGGTGACGCGCACGACCGTCCGGGTGGGTGACTTCTTCATAGGGTACTTTTGCGGATGGGCGCACGGTGCGTAGGGGTGAGCGGGTAACGGACTTGAGCATGAACTCTTCTTCGACGCGTTTTTTGACTGCGGCCATTTCCTTTGGTGAAAATTGGTAGGAGCCATGTTCTTCGGATTGGGCGGGCGTGGAAGTAGAGAACGTGCGCGCAGAAGGTGAAATTGGCGACGTAGTAGATTCGGCTGGGGTTAGGGGAGTCATGCCGCTTGCAAGGAGCGAGGAACGTGTGGAGTTCCGACGGGAGGCGAGTGCAGCGGAGGAGAGGGAGGACCTGCGCGAGCTGAGAGGCGTACCGATGGGAGAGGGCGAGTGGGAGGCGTCGCCATCTTCAAACCTACACAAACAACGACCGTGAGCTCAACAACTGACAAGGGAGTGGGGAAATATTTTTACGTACGCGTTTGTCTGGTAGCTGAGCTCTTCGGGCGGGATACCCGCTGCGGTGGCACCCTCGTTGCCGGCGAGGAGAATGTTCTTTATACCCGCTCGGGCAGTGGCAGAGGAGCTTGAGGAGTAGCGCTTGACTGCACGGGGAAACATCTCTAGTATAGTAGTCGTAGTCTGTAGTCAAAGTGTAGACGAAGGGGGAGAGAAACTGAGGGAAGGATCGCGGGGTAGAGACTTTATAAGATTATTATGAAGGATGGGACTGAGTGGAAAAACAACCTAGACAGTCTGCATTAGGCAAGTGGAGCCATTTTCGGGGTGCCTTCCTTCGCTGATTATTTATTTTTGTCGTCAATTGACTCAGCTCGCAAATTAGTTTCGATGCCGTTATCACGTAGACGCCCTTGGCACTTGATTACTCTCTTCCCGCATTAGGCCCTGAGAATGAGCACCTTGTGCGATTATGCGCCTCTTCCGTCGGTTGCCGTGGGTTTTGGTAGATTTGGCAGCTCCACTGACGACTTCGAGCCACAGCATAGGCTTTGTCTCTTGAGTAAAAGGAGTCCCGATCATCCCGAGGCAGTTAGGAGCCGTTAGAGGGTTGTACGTTTCCGCTGTTATCATCAGTGTTGATTATCTTCGCGAAAATGAGTGTCCTTTGTGTATACATGCCGGCCGATATGCCGACGGCGTCCAAGCGCTAGAATCGGGGCTTCCATGCTGAAGCGAAAAGCTATGCGCACGAATATTGGAAATTAGTTTGTTCGGCGACGCATACAAGTACACGCTGATAGGGACTGGATAGCGGCGAGGTTGATGTGGCGCGTTTTGATGACGCTCTGAACTCTTTTGAGCGCTTCGTGAAGCGGGGAGGCAATTGCACGTGATGGCAGTCATCTCTGTGTGCCTGAAGGACGCTTCGTCATAGCTGCTGTCTTTCTAACGCAGCCTTGAGTAAAGTTCTGGGTCTTCTCTGACTCTCCTTGCCTTCTAATATTATCTTATCTTCTCGCGAGACGCCGGATGTGGCGTTCTGCACCTCACCGTTGACTGACTACTCTCCCTAACTGCTATGAATCTGTAACGCAAACTTGAACTCACTGATAGTGGCTCTAAGGGTCCTTTGCACCGGTTCTCGGCCCGGTCCTCTATGAAGGGATCTAACAACAACCTCGTTCTTGACGACACCGCCTGACATAAGTGTTTCGAGTCGCCTCTGAGGAACTGACCGCCAGATCTCTTCACTTATCCAGCAAGTTGCAATGGAAAGACTTTTGGTCCTGGTATTATCAAAGTAATACTTGCCTCCCGAATTACTCGTAAGCCCTCCTACTTTGTCCTTATCCATCACGTATGTGCAATCCACGTCCCGCAAAGCACGAACATGGACGCATCGACTCCCCTTAAGTTAGTCGCATATCGAGCATTATACGTTGCCCTGCTATATCTTTGGTGAGGCATTGACACACCGCCGCTCACCATCTCAGAGCATCCACCCCTCACGCTCGAACAAAAACAAGAAAACAAGACTATATTTACACGTTCATTTTCATAATCACATTCATTTCACTTTGCTTGCTCTATCTCAATTGAATGAGCCCAACGCTCACATTCTCCGCCCTCCCAGACAGCGCCTACCCATTCGAGACAGCCGAAATCGAGCTTTATGATCAAGACCAAGTCTATGTCGTCGGTTTCCGTAAAAACCCACTCGCACATCATAGCTCGAAATGGCGAGAAAAGCTCGGTGCGATGATGGAGAAGGACAAGGACAAGGAGAAAGAGAAAGAGAAAGAGAAGATGGGTACGGTGGAGGACGTAGGGTTTTCTTCGGAGTTGTGTGATGATAAGTTGTGCATTGTCCCTGCGGAGTCGCATGATGCGAGGAAGATGAGGGAGGTGTATGCTGCGATTTGGCTTGCCCCTGGCTACAAGGTGCGTCCATTGTTGTTTCTCAACTTAGATGGATTGACCTGTTGCTAATTATACGATACGTATCCACTCGTTTCGGATGTGCCGTACGTGATGCGTGCAGGTCATGCTTCTGCCTGCTGAGGGTAGCAAGGTGTATTACCAGCGTGCGATATCTGGGAACACCAAGTGGAAGAAGATCAAGACAGGGTATGGAGTCGACCTTGCGGATCCGTTCATGACGATATTGGATGGTGCGATTCATATCGTACGTATCGTCCTTCTCTCCTCCTATTCCCTCCGCACATTGACTGTTACCTATTTACTTATTGCTTGCATTAACAGAAATTCGACGCCCGTCCAGAACCAGACCGCCCCTCCCCAACCGAATTCCTCCGCAAACTCGTCAAGTTCATACAACGTTCCCGTTCCCACTCCCATTCTCGGTCTCCTTCCCCCCACTCGCCTCACTCGCCTCATTCTCCTCACTCGCCTACTTCACCTACAGATTTGAACCCTGGATCTGGAGGAGTCAGCCACTTCCACTCTCTCGTGCGACACATTCATACCGAGATCGTTAGCTCGGAAGTCCACCCTTCTCATCATGCCCATCATCATTCACCTCATCATTCGCCTTCTCGGTCGCCTTCGCCGCTCTCAGACACGACGCATCGGTACGAGATCACTGCGAGCGTCACCATAGAATGGGGCGAGAGGAAAGGCGAAGGCTGGAGGAGGTTGCCTTCGACGGGTAACTTGTCTCATGAAGGTATGCAAGATAAAAGGGAACAAGACCAAGTTCTCTACGACGATGAAGGAGTTGAACACGCGGATGAGATGGACGTCGACGGTCATGGCGACGCGAACGACAGTCTCGACTCACACATCAACCCAGATGTACTCCCCTCTACCGAAGGTACGAAGAATCGCAGCAGTTACAGCAGCGAAAGTACTGAAGGAGAAGACCCCTACCGGAACGGAGACAGTCAAAGCGACGTCGAAATGGAAAGAGAAACAGACAGTGAGAGAGAACGCGAGACGTCTTCACAAGATGACTTCAGTCCTTCACCCGAGTCGTCTTCGGATTCTGAAACCGAGATTGAATCTCGTGATACTCGCGTTACTCACAGCAGTACGAGTGGGAATGGGAATGTGTCTGCACTGGCCAGACCTACGCGTGAACGCTCGAGGAGTACGAAGACGATTCGATCGAACGACTCGTCTCGTTATCCGACTTCTACTTCTTCTACTTCTTCTACTCATCCTTCTTCACTTTCTTCAACGACCTCTTTGTCGTCAAGTTCACGAGACAGAGAACATCGACACGGAGATTTAAGAACGTCAAAGTCTACGGGTGACCTCACCTCCATCTCTAAATCCACCTCTCCTTCTCCCTCCCACTCTTCCCACTCTCCCTCTCCCTCCTCTCCTCCTACTTCTTCCTCAGCGAAGGACAGAGACAGAGAAAAGGAAAAGGAGAAAGAAGCAAAGAAATCCCGCAAAGTCCACGAAAAGGAAATCAAATCCCGAGAGAAGGACGTCAAGTCCCGCGAGAAGGAGAGTCAGAGTCAGAAGGAAAGGGAGAATAAGGAAAGAGAAGGGAGGTTGAAGCGTGCGACATCAATTCCGACGACGACTTCACCTACTTCGACTACTTCGACGCAGCACTCTGCTTCATCACAGTCATCTTCAAAGAGTCGGAAGGGGTCGAAGGGTGCTTGATTCACCATCCCTATCATATCTTGTCCTCGTACTCGCACGCACGTCGTCTCCATTCCATAATCAATAGCTCATTCATCCCTGGACAGCAACCAAGAATGAACGAGAAGCAAAATGCAGAATGGGAAACGGGAAGCAGGAAGTTGCAAAGTAATGTAAAGTCACTTTGCACTGTCACTGTAGTCGTACTCGCTCGATTCTCTCTACTTTGCTCGTTTGGTAATCCTAAACAACTGGTGCTGTTTCGTACATAAAATAACAACAATACAGCAATAATATTAGTAATAAAATTCTAGTTACTGATAACTGTGATTCACACTTTACAGGGGGGAAATTGTACAACATACAACATGAAGTAGTAAAAATTACAGATATCAGAAATTTTATAGAAAGTACACATAAAAGCCCCTGAGATTGAATTTTATTGCTATCCATTATTAATTACTATATCATGCCTTTTTTAACACGTGTTTAAACCCTTATTTTTTGAGAGAGTAGAGGAATGGAACAAGTAATTTAATAATTTAAAAATACTACATTCGTCTTATTCATACACTGAAGGGGAGTCGAACCCCTGCCGCTTGCTTGGAAGGCAAGCATGATAACCGCTTCACCATCAGTGTCCTATTTGCAATCTGTCTACCTAAATATCATATTCTCTGTGACATGGTTTTTTTTCTTAAGTGCTCAAGTTTTCAAGTTTGCAATCTCACCAATTAGTAGAATTCAAATCCCTACCTCGGCAGGCTTGCATTTGTGTAAGGCATGACAATATCCAACTTGTATTTTCGTTTAAGATCCAATCAATCAATCAATCAGATTATTGCTAAAGAACACCGAAGAGAATCCATGACTCTGTGTATACAAACAATCATTATCAAGTCATAACAAATTCGCGTTTAAATCACGTCCTCCGATCCTGAGCCGCCTAAGGTATACTGTAAATACAGTATCACGTTATAACTTTGCCTTTGTACGCTCGCCACTCTTATTCCTACTTCTCCCACCCCTGAGTTTCAGCCGACGAGCCCACTCTCTACGTACGCGTTTCCGAACAGAGTCTTTCATTATCTTGCCGTTTGCATTGCGTTCTTTTTGTTTTTGTTTTTATTTTTGGGTGGGTGAGTTGTAAGATTACGTGAGTCAGTGACGATTAGAAGGAGCAAGATAGGAAGGGTAAAACTCACCGATAAGGTCGTCTTGCACGAGTACCATCACAGGAACAGCATGCGGTGGTAATCTGATAAGTAGCAAATTAAACAAATCGAACACAGACGTACACATATGTTTAATATTAGCAAATAATATTTAGAGTAAAGATCGAGAAACACGCACAATCGTCTAGCGATATCAATAACTTCCTCTTCCGACACTTGGCCTTTATAATGCGGCTTCGTCGCTACGACCGCGGCGACAAGTTCACCTAATCGCCTGTCTGGTACGCTTACGGCTGCAGCGTCAAGTATGTGGTCGTCTGCGTAGAGTGCGTTCTCTACTTCCACCGAATGCTAATTACAAATTATTTGGTTATTGTTGTTGGGTGGTGAAGATGGCGTAGCGAAAAAGGTGCTTACGATGTTCTCTCCTCCTGTTAACAGAGTGAAGTACTATGTAAGTCAGATGCTTCTTTATCGTACAGTGCGAATGTCATTTACCTCTAATGATGATATCCTTGACTATGGAAAAGAACATTGTCGTTAGTTCAGCTGCCTTACAGCACCGATATTCCAGCAACTCACTCCTATCCTTGATATATACAAATCCTTCCTCGTCTATGCACGCCGAATCTCCGGACTTGAACCATCCGTCGCGTGTAATTGCCTTCCTAGTTGCCTCTGCAATACCAACGGCCCCGCACAGTCAGTTTCGTCTCTTCCGAAATAAAGGTCTGGGAATTACCTGGATCACCCCAATATCCTTTCATTACATGCACGCCCTTTCTGCACAAGAAAAAGGAAATGAGACTTGACTATCTAATCATAAGAGGAGCAACGTACATCCATATTTCGCCAACCTGACCCGGAGGTAATACTTTAAGCGTTACAGGGTCGACGATGACGAGGTCGGTAACGGGACTCGCGAGGCCACTGTTAATTTGTCGGCATTAATTCTGGACAGAAGACTCAAGTGAGAACATACCAGCTCGTTGGCCTTGCTAAGAAATCTGCTTCACCAGAAAATTATCGAGTGAGTAAACATTTGCTAGGAAGCCAGAATCGTACCTTCGCCTATTATTCAGACAAAAAAAATGAGTAAATGAGTATGAGGAGTAATGGCCTTTTTGAACGTACCGTGTATGCTTACAGCAATAGCGTTCGTCTCACTCAGCCCATATCCTTGACCTCTGCCAAATCATTCGTTCAGCTTGCCTCAGTTTTCTCTTTCACAGCAGAAACGAAAAGATAATAACTTCAGAGAAAAGACGTACGACTCAACACCCTTAAATCTCCTCTTGACCTCCTTTGGCATAGTCTCGGCCGAAGGAGCGCCACCACACGAGAGGTTTTCAAGGGCGTCACTATCGAGGGAGGATTCGATGAGATCCATTATCATGGAAGGAACTCCTCCTGCGTTGGTAAGGCGTTCACGTTTGATTATTCGCGCAGCTATGCAGAGGTTAATGCAAGTTAGACGTGAACGTTGAAGGTAGTCGGTATAAAGTAGGATTAAGACGATGGGTATAGGGTGATATACCTTCTTCTTTATCCCATTTGTGCATAAATACGATCTTTCCTCCGAGAGCCGTGGAAGTCATCTATTACGTAGCGTAACACAACCCAGATTATTCTATCAATACAGGATGAATGAATCGAAAGGGAATACTCACAGCAGCACTCGTCAACCCAGTGACATGGAAAAGTGGCACACTAATCAACGTGCCCTTCTGCGGTTCATCTGGACCTGGTTCGACCAGATCCTCTCCCTTCCTCAGCATCGCACGCATTTTCGCAACGAACGCGTTAAATATGTTCGTTAAAAATCCGCGTTGACAGGAAAGCACACCCTTCGGTAGGCCAGTTGTTCCCGAAGTGAAAAATATAGTCGCATTCTCGTCTGGAAGACATTCCGGTGCGGAAGCATATGCGTCTAAAGGACCTGTATATGAGGCAAATGCATCTTCTAACGAAGACATGCCTTTCCATCTCCATTTTCCTCCTCCGGGTCGTTTGTAATGTGCCCGAACGACAAACACCCTGTTTAATGATGTCTTGTTCTTCAAATCCTCTAGGAGAGTCCCACTCGCAAGTCGATCTGCTCGCTCAGGATCCACAATGATAATCTTCGGATTCGTGAGAGTTATACAGTGTTGTAAGGGACCAACAGGTGCCCAGGCATTAATCATCGTTGCAACTCCACCAAGAAGATGAATCGCCCAGAAGGTGATCATGAATTCAGGATAGTTTCGCATGATAATAGCGACTTTATGATAACACGAAATAAATGATATTAGCGTCACGAGACTTAGAGGAAAGGCAGCGATGTACCTCGGTCGCCTTTTCGTACGCCGTATTTGGTATAGAGCAGACTCGCGAGCTTGCATGAACGTTCACGAGTTTGAGCGTATGTGTATCGCTCGCTTTCGAATATGATATAATCTCGGTTCGCCCATTCGGTCGAACGGTCAAGCCAGAACGTTCGTACATTCTATATTCAACATAAAACATCAGTATTTTATCAAGTATAGCGTGCATGAATAAATCAATTAAGCACGCATATAGAGAGATTGCACTTACGACAGGCAAGTTCTTGTATACCCTCACAACACGGTCGTCAATAATAACATGTTCTAGTTCATGCAATCGCCCCGGTTCAGTTAATATTCGGTTAACCTCAGCTACCGAGCGCTTAGGCTTCCAGTCTTCAGGTCTGAAGTCATCAATGTCGTCATGAACGTGCGTATTCTTGTTTATTGACGAGGAAGGTGGAGGAAGGCTGTCTGAGCCGTTGTTAGTAGCTACACCGACTGACATCCTTGAACCAGTCTCGACACCGGACAAGGCTTGTCCAATGCGACCGGTAAAGTAAGAGAGGTTGGGGGAACTGGTGTGGGCGGGAGCGTGCGAGGCATGGGAGTAATTATAAGAATGTATCTATAGCCAACCCTTGTGATCGCAACGGATGCAAAACGTGCCCGACCTTACCGGTTCCTTGTTCCCACGCTCAATTCAAGTTCAGGATTTCACAAGTCTCATTACTCAACTTCAATCACTCCTCATTGGTCGGACCTTTGTCCGTGCTGCTCCCTAACTACTTACCTTCTGTCCTTAAAGTCAACGATAACTCCTGAAAATCCGTAGGAAAAAACATGGCGAGGATCAGACACTGTCGAATCGTCTCTATACGACGATTTAGAGTTCCGGAAATCATCTTCCTCAGTTCCGAACGCACACCCCACTCGGGAGGCAACAAACTGCACCCATCCTGCAACCGCGCGTCTGGGAAATAAGATATTCCATACACGCATCCGCCCAATCGAATTCATTCACCTACCTCAATCGTCGGCGTTATCTGTCTCAGGGCAACCGATATTTCTTTCTTTGGCGATTCGTAATTCCCTCGTACGGTCTCGATGAATCTCTCGAAGTTGTTCGAAGCGCCACCGGCCCCGTGGTCCGAAGCGTGGTACGCCGCCTCGGGCACGTGGACTTCATTTAAATCATCAAAAGCAAAGACAAAAGCGAATCCTGTTCCTTGCTGAAGCTATCATCTCTGCGGATCCAAAAGTCGACGCATCCTGTGATTAATCAATACGAACAGCGAAACAATATAGCAATACGATAGCATACAACGCAAAGCGCATATAAATGAAAGAAGCTACACGATAGCGGGGAATAAGGAGAAGGTATGTTCATGGAAGATTGAAGATCTGCCTGTGCGCTAACACAAGTAACTGTCACTCGCAGCGCCAGTTCCCTAACGGACAATAGGCATGGGCCTGTGATACAGGACGAAAACGCACATCGCGAATACCACGAAAGCTACTAGAAGTATACCCGCCTTATCCACAGGAGCCATGACTATCGTAATGAAGATATCAATAATGAAGAACATAGCACCCATCCAATACAGGACAGAGACAGCGATGGAGGCTCGATTTGCAGCCTCGAAGCAATAGCTGTTTCTACGGAAGGGGTGTAGGACCTGAGCACCAGACGCAATGAACCACAGCGCTGCGGAAGAGAAGATGAAAGACTCGATAGCAAAAGTGTCTCGGAGGATATGCAGGATTGTAAGTGGACCGTTGTCGCCATCCACAGCATTGCTTACATCGAGTAGCAACTTCAGAAACACACTCGTCTAACAAAATGTCAGCAGGGATATGCAATGTGATCAGACTGGTAGGACGTACTGCAGTTGAATAGTTTTGAACCTGTGGTTCGCTGTTCATCATTCTCACAATTATACTGAATTGCGAAGGAGAAGAGTACAGTGCCAACGAACGTTACGACCAGGCATGAGATTAAGAGCAGTGTGTTCCCTTCTGTATACAGATTGAAGCTCGATAGGATAACAGCGACTGCAATGTTGATCAGAGCTGTTGCACGTTCTCCGACGAGCCAGGGAAGAATTGGCCCAGACACGATAAAGTTGATCACTACGGAGGGTATAGAAGGTATGCTGCCTCCTAAGACCATTACTCCAGTTGTGTAGGCAGTGGCCAACCTTGTCTGCATACTGTTAGGATGGATTGGCTTGCTTAACAAAGGAAATAGAGTAGCGCACAATGTAGACATAGTATCTATGTGCTTCGGGCCGATCTTCAGGCTGCCTGACAACGTCTTGGAGATCCGCAACAATAAATACTGGTAACATCATGATTACTTAGACATCAACATAAGTGCACAGATGGTGGAAGAGGACAATGCACCATTACTGTTCATGCTGAAAGTGTGTCCAGGTCAACTGCTGCAGATAACGTCAGAAGAGGATGAGTTGGGAGTACTGGAGGATAGAGATAACATGGGCTCAGATTTATGTGGTAGTTGTTTGAGCTGCAACCAGAAGGGAGAAAAACACATTATTGAAAGCTAGTACTGTAAGGACATTCATTAATTCAGTTGGACTGACGCTTGTCGTCAAGTGTCAGCATCTCTATTTGATATACCTCTGACAGCAAAAATGGGAAAGTTATGTTGGACCGAGCAGCCTCAGGTCCTGTTTTGGGAGGCCTCTTGGTAGTCAAGCTTCAGAGTGTTGATCCCACGTCTGGGCTCCGCTCTGTAAGGTCCTCCGTGTGAGCCATTGTTGAGGCTAGCATAGGGCAGGCATTTGACCACTCAGGCCTCTGAAGGTCAGCTTCCGACTGTGTCGTGTCAGTAGAGTCGTCTAGCGGATGCAAAGGTCTGCAAGAGCTTCTCCTCTGGTGTTGTTCATCTCTGTTTCCATCAGGGCCAGCATGATCTAGTAGATCGCTGAGTCTATCCAAGTCATTCGTTCCAGCAGAGGGCACAAGTACATAATATTACAAAACAGTTCAGTTTCTTCTACATCCGGTAGGCAGAAGTTTTCAATCTTTGGGCTCAGTGGCTCAGATCGGGCACTGAAATCAATAGTGGCAAAATAGGGTTTCTCTATTATTGTATAGTTGATTCGGTATCGGCTCTTTGCCCGATGGATGCTATAATTGCGGTGTACTTGCACACGTTTTCAGAATTCTATTAAGAAGTCGACAGTCACATATCTTCCCGGTCTTGAACTGACATGTATGCGATCCTTGAGTCCAGCATCTATTTCATAACGTGAGTCGAATAAGGTGTGAAGAAAACAGCAGTGACTTATGTAACAATGAGCGATAAACACACAAACAAATGCAGGAACCAGTACTAGCAGCAAAGGAACAATAATGAACAGACCACATGAATTTGTGCAACCTTCAGCTGTCTGGCACAGGATCCGGTCCAAATCCAAAACTTTCCAACTCATCCAGTTCGCGCTGTATTGCCGTGTGTCGCTCCTAGAGAGGGAAATGATCAGAATCCAAGGCAGTCGAGCGTGAGAGGCACATACCCTGAGGCGCCGAAGCTCCTCCAGCTCCATCATTTCGCGCTGTATGCGCTCCTGTTCTTCCTGATTGTCATCAAAAGAACGCGAGAAGTACGGACTTTTAGTCATACTCTATATCAACGTGGCGGACTGACCTTTAGGCGCCGCATCGCATCTTCTCTTCCTTCGTCCCTCGGCCTCATACTCGGTGTCGGAGATTCGAGATGCTCGACGAACCGAGGGACGTAGGTTGGTATTATGCCTTGTGAAATGAGCATAGCTGTGCATTAGATAGGAGAGAGATTAGTGCATTGATTTTAAAGTCAGATAGTAAAGTATATCCGTACCTCTTGGCCTGTAAACGTACTTGAAGACCGCCACCGGGCCAGGATTTTCAGGATCAAATGGCATAGATGTCATCTTTTTCGTGCGATATCGTCTTTGTTCTCCCAGTCTTCATTCATATATATGTCGCACCCAACGTTATCAGTTTTTCAATAGCAAAGCGTCGGTGCCGAAATTGGAAAGAAGAAAACACGGTATCGTACCGAACTCCGCGAGCTCCGGCTATACAACTGTGTTTCTGCAATGGGTCATTCGATAAAGATGGAACATGGTATTTTGGATGTCGGGATTCCGTGAAGACAACTTGCAGTAGCTCGATGCGGATCGTCCCTACGTCATCCATGCCCGTGTGGTCGAATACCGTGTCCTCTTCTACCCAAAGATGTATAAAATCCGGTATGATGATTAGAAGCAAAATCGAGAGTGAATAAATACCAATATTAGAATCAGCTGATGGAGTAATGGAGATGTAGACGCACCTGGGAACACGATATCAGAGAAGACAAATGGTTTGACAGTATCCGCATCAATGCTAACACCCTGGCAAATGATCTCCCTCCCCATCTTCCGTTGATCGTACCCTCGGTTCACAAGCTCAATTCCATCGACAAAGATCACAAGCTGTAAAGAGCATGGATAATTCTCGGCTCTGAACATGATTTCAAATTCCTGGGAACCGTCAATTCAGAGCAAATCATTATGGCTGCAATAAACCAGGTAAAGAAGGGGAAAGCCAGACCTTGCCGGATTCGCTAGCAACCCAACTCGTAATGATATTTCCAACAACCTGCGCCCCGAACTCTTCCAATACATTCGTCAACCCTGTGCTTGAATCTGTTATGCGTAAACCAATGTGACAGTCAGCAAACTCGGGCATTTCAAACAATCGATGGGATGTAGTCAGTTGTTGATTGCCAGATGGAGAGTAACAGGCTACAAATCCAGTTCAGAACGAGGACGAGAAATAATATTGAAGGTGCTCAAGTATTTTTAGAAGTTAACAAGGCGTCTCAGTCGTTGCCACATGTTTGCAATGCAATGCAGATACCAGGTGGCAGTGTGTGTGACAGGAAAATGAACAGACTATGTGACATGTTCTGTGCCGTCACAGATCTGTGTCACATATCATCAGCTCCGAAGTCAGGTTAGGAGTCAGTGTTTCTGCGGAGCGCTGTACAGTAGAATAAGTTACACAACAGTGAAGAGCAAGGAAAGGGGATCGTCGTGCAGTCGCCAAAGCCTTTGTGAGTCTCTTCGTCTCCGATTTGCTTCGCTGGGCGGTGGACTGAACGTCTGCAAGTTGGATACGCAGTTCCTGGAGAGAATCCTCGAGATTCTAGTTTTCCTCTTTGAATTTGTCTGTGGGGATGTTGTCAGCGCCAAGTGGTCAATTAAAGGGACCGTCATTGTGGCCGAGAAAAAAAGAAAACTTTAGGACATACCGGCGTTCTGCTCCCGCTCACGCAGAGTCTTTTTCAGTGCCTCCACAGTCTTTTCAACATTGTCCTTTTCTTCCTTCATATTTTATAGACTTGCTGCGTTCTCCGAGCAAGCTCTGCAACCGCTGAACCTCGAAGCTGCTCTCAATCTCAAAAGCAAACTCTATAAAAGTAACAGGACTAGTTAGATTGCTTCACAATAAGAAAAACAATATGTGTTGACCGACGTCATTTAGCGCGGTGGGCATTCTTGGCGCGCCGTGACTGCAAGGCGGAGGGTGGGGACGGATAGTGCGCAGTTGGAGGCTCCTGCGGAACGTTGGGCAAAGACAAGTCTTGTGCAGGAAGGGCACTGTTTGCCTGTGGTCTTCCACAGAATGCACTCGACAGCTTCGCATTTTCCTCGTTCCAGGACTGAATCATCTTTGCGAGATCGCGATATTGGAGACGCATTTGGCACTCGGTTTGTCGCGGTCACCCTTGTTTGCGTCCATATCCTGCAACTGTCGAACACGCTCCTCGAGTTCCATCTGCTGGGCAAGAACACACTAACCGAGTGTCCCAGCTCGCTGGAGCTGCCTTATTACTGTCTAGCAGCAGTTGAAGAGTCGCACACAGGTCGGAAGCATTCATATTGCTTGCACTGAGGACATTGTCCAAGTCACGATCAGGCAGGCCGCAGAACACTGGGCTCCAGACTACCCTGTACAGTAAACACATTTCTTCATGGTAGCAAACCTGCCAAACAGGTGTTGAGGCCAAGCTGACACAATGTATGCTTCCAGACATACCTTGCCTTCATCACTGTAGAAGTAGCAATGTATCTGGGTCGATGTCCTTCAGATGCCGTTCGAAAGCCGAGTGTTTACAAATTGCCTCTTTCAAGTCTTCGACGTCTGCATCTTCCTGGATGCAGAATGGACAAGGCTTCTTCTCAGCCATCCGCTATTCTGCTGTAGTGCTGATAATTGACATTCTTTCTTCAGTGTGGTGACTTAGTTATGGAGCCATTCGGATCACTTTATGAACGTGCCTTGGAGTGGCCTCACATTACGAATAGTGATAGTGTGAAGATGAAGCTTGCACGTCGTCTAAGCAAGTATTTCCCTGACAGACCTGTGCCAGAGGATGGTGGGAACAGTTGTTACTAGCTATCATATGAAGGTTGGCTGATAACCTTCATGTGCTCCACTCACTAAATATAGACACGAAGAACCGGCTGAACAGTAATGACAAGAAGCACCAGCAAACGCACTCGTCTACTTGTCAGCCCAATACTCCTGAACTAAAAATAAAACCTATGCTAACCCAAAGCCTCATTGTGCAAGTTTGACGAGTGAAGGAAGGTTGTATTGAGTTGTGGAACAGACAGCACATCACTATCAAGGGCTATATTGGAAAGAAAAGGAAGGGAGGTTGTAAGACCGCGCTGGATGGGCTCACCAGATACAACGTTGACAAAACACCGAGGGTTCTTTGAAGAAAGGGCAACAGAGTCATGTCATCATATGAGTCAAAATAACCAGTCTCACTTGGGCATGGCAGCTGTGGAGGAGTTGCAGCATTGAGCAAGCAGAGTTTCCTTTTGCATTCATAATGTCATCACGCTCGCCTCACCTGCTACCAACAAGAAGTCATTGCACTGTATATATACACGCCTCCCAGACCCAGACATCATATTACATTTGATCGAAAGACAAAGAAGTGTAGAAAACAGATTATCAATTCTAAAGCTTAAACATCAATTCCCTGGAATTCTCTTTTTTTCGCTTGATGCATCGACTTTAGCGTGAAGTGGCGGTAAGCCGTCAGCTTTGCTGTCAGAACTGACATACAAGGTGTAGCAAGGGAGGAATCTGATGAAGAAACTGAGGACAATTGCGAAGACAATGAAGACAGTGCTGGTGGGAAGAAAGAGGGTGGAGTAGCTGAAACGCTCACTCTCCTGAACTTTGACATCTCCTCACTCACATGATAGCATTGTCACAAGCCCTCTTCAACTTATTGACATTGCTTTCTACCATTGGCGCCCCACCTTTGCCATAACAGAGTTGACGTCTGACAGCTTCAAGGAGCCGTCCAGACGCCCAGAAGTTTGTTCCTTCGTCCGACACTTCGTGCAGTAAAGGCCGGCGTCTTGGATCAGAGTGCGTAAGCAAATCCGCGAGTTGCCTAATGTTGCTATGTTTTTGACCAGCCTTCTCAGCGATAAACTGGAGTACTTTGCCACAAGACCATAAGTCCGCCCTGATAGGGCTGAGCGCGCGAGGTGCCTCATTATCGTCAAGAGCAATCTCTGGAGCACTCCACCCACGAGTCCCACACGACATCTCGACAATCTCGTCTGCATCCTTGCATCGCACGGCAACATCAAAGTCAATAATATATAGACGCCTTCTGTAGACGACAAGATTGCTGGGCTTGATGTCCAAATGTGCGATCATTTGCCGGTGAAGGAAAGCAACACCCTCAATGAGCTCACAGCTCAGTCGCACAGACTCACCTCTGAGCTTATCTCCATACAATTGCAATGTAATAAATTCCAACAGAGGAGCCGCATGAGGCATAATTGCCAATGGTCCCAAACTCGACAGGACTGTATCCAGCAGTGGTATGGCGTGGTTATATAAAGACGTTTGCGTCGATAGCTCCTGAAGGAGAGAGAGCTCAGAGGAGAGTTTATGGACGAGTTTTGCAACAACACGATCCCCGTTGGGACTGTCGCCTCCACTACGTGAGCCGGCAACTGGACCTGTCTATCAGCATAAGACCAAGTCGAACTTGTATGACACGCACCTTGGTAAACGGCTCATATTCCTCAGAATATTCTACATCCCGCACTTCGAATCCTGAATTCTGGAGTGCGGCAATCATTGCAGTGCTTCTGTGCTTGCTGGAGTCTTGACCTGTACTCCCGTTTGTATCGTCTTGATCCGTATCTGGCTCCCTTGGCCTTTTGTTCTGTCTCGTCCTTTCGGTGAAGACTCTCAGAAACCCTTCCTCTACATCCTTGCACAGAGCCGTAATATACTGTACCTTGTCACCAAGAGTGTCCGCGACATTGATATAGAATACGTAGTTGTAAAACTCGTGCAGGAAGGTCATTAAGTCGTCGGCATGGGCCATGTTGAAATCTCTTTCGAGATAGCAAACCTGGTAAACAGGTGGTGAGGCCGAGCTGACACAATGGGTGCTCCTAGACACACCTTGCCTTCATTACTGTAGAAGAAGTAGCGATATATGTGCCACTCTTTGGTAAAAAATGCTCCCATGAGGAAGAAATTCTCATCATGACAGCCATCGGCCCGTCGGAAGGCAAGTGCAAGGCACAGTGCACACGCCATCTGGACAAGCAGCCGGTGTTTGTTGTCCTGATTGGTTAATGAGTCAAACTCAGCCAGAAAGCGTGGAAAATCGTCCTTAAAGAGGGCAACATTAGGTTTGGGCCGATACTTGTATTGCCCAACAATGTTGTGGCCATTGACTTCATCGACGATCAGAAAGAACGGGAATTGCTTCCCACTATACAAAATGAGATACATCCAGTGAAATAGTGGAATACTCACAATGTGCCTCGTGCATTGTCAAACTGTGTTACCCAATATTCCTTGAAGTTCCCGAGCACGATAAGGCGCGCGTGCTCCTCTGTGAATACGTCTCTGCCTCCAATGGGAGACAAACCTAAACTCCCTCGGCAGCAATTCGTCCAGTAAATGGCACGAATATAATGGAAGATCTCTGGATGCCAACGAGTATATGGAGCTGCATCGTTTTCATTGCTCAAGAGGTAAGAGGGAATCACAGCGTGGCTGTCTTCGGACGCGACTGTATTAAGCATACCCTGGAGGAACTGTATAAACTACCGTAATAGTCAGCAACTATGAAGATAAGTGTCTTTGAACGGGGTACAACAAATCCTGCAAAGGCACTGCTATTACTGTCTGCTGCCCGTCTCGGCCTTTGGACTACGTCCTTGACGAACTGTGGAATCACCGTTCGATAGGAATACTGATTCAGCGTGATCACGGAGCACCAATCCGGGTTCTTTCCATTACGACGAATTTTGAATATGACTTCTTCGCGACGGGTTCGATGCACTGGATTGACTGAGAGCAGAGTAATTCAAACTTTCTAAGACTTGGAAGCGGTCGGTTGAATATTGTAGATAGGCAAAGAACAGACAACACACTTGATTTGGTGACGACGATAACGTCTGTCATCCTCTTACCCTCCGGCACAGGATCATCAGGGAAATACTCGCTCAGACGGTCTGCTAAGTCCATATTCTCATCATCTGCGTGTTCGTGGAGCCACTCCAAAGCATGTTCATGAAGTTCCTTGCGTGGACCCTCTCCAACGAAACACTGAAGAAAGAACGTCAATTATCAGCATAATTGCAGAATAGGAGATGTTGGAGAAAGGCATTGTTAAGGACTAGCAGCTTGCCTTCCAGGGTAACTTTGTACGTTTCATGGTTACGAATAGCACATTCCAAACTTTCAACATCTGCATTCTCTGGAACGTGAATGGGACGAGGACTGTATTTATCGATTTGGGGCAGGTAGACCACATGGCGGTGACTGTTTAGACTTGTAGATGCAGATGCAGAAGACATGGTGGATGAGAGACAATTTATTATTATTATTATGTATTAATTGTGTGTTGTGTGGACAGCCACTGTCTCGGTGTCTACGCCTAAGTGCATATTGCACGTGATCTTTACCTAAATCAGTATTCGCCGCGTGAGTCACTGAAAGTCCATCTCAGAATTATATGCTGCGAAGGGGATGGTATCGATTGTTACCTCCCCGCCTCTCCCATCGTTCTCCTCCGCTCATTAGACTAATGGCTGATACCACGATCGCGTCTGGGACATCCACCCCTGAAAATGGTGCTCCAAACCCGAATTCGAAGAGCGCAGGTATGTGTTTCGTTCGTGAATAATAATTTGACAGGAAGGATTGGTGTTGGCGGATTTGCGTGGCGGTGAGGAAGATAGAGTAACGCAATGTGTCAAAGTCGTGTATTCTAGCGAGGTTGTGAGATATTCTAACCTGACCTCGAAGGCACATCTCTTGCGTGCACTCTGTTTTGACCAGCCACTTCTGTCAAACGCACTGTATTTCTGCACTCGTCTGACCTATCACGACAGCAAAGAAAGAAGCCAAACGATTAGAGAAGGAGGCAAAACTTGCTGCGAAGGCTGCAAAAGTCAACGCTTCAGCCGCCGGATCCGAGAAGAAACAGAAGGAGAAAAAGGAGAAGAAAGATGAAGAAGCTCCATTCGTGAACACCACGCCGAAGGGCCACAAGAAAGGTGATGGAAATTAAATTCTACTGTGGATAATTCGCTGAAGCTTCAGCAGATATGATGCAGCCCATGGCTAGCGGATACGATCCCATCGCTATCGAATCCGCGTGGTACGACTGGTGGGAAGCCCAAGGCTTCTTCCTACCTCAAACGCAAGCAGACGGTTCACCAAAATCTGAAGGCTCCTTCATTATACCTGCACCTCCACCAAACGTTACCGGAAGCTTGCACATCGGACACGCACTTACCGTAGCTATTCAAGATACGCTCATTAGATGGAATCGTATGCTTGGAAAAACGACGCTGTTCGTACCAGGTTTCGACCATGCTGGTATTTCGACGCAGTCCGTTGTAGAAAAGCGATTGTACAAGACGTCGGGACGAACAAGGCATGATCTTGGGCGCGAAGCGTTCTTAGAAACTGTCTGGGCTTGGAAGAACGAGTATGTCGCATATCGATATGATGAAGGGCTTTTCACTGACTTAATGCAGTTATCAAACTCGAATCACGAGCCAGCTAAAAAGACTGGGAGGGAGTTACGATTGGAGTCGTGTAGCATTCACAATGGATGATGTACGTAACTTTTTTTCTGAAGAATCAAGCTATTTATTCACTGTCGTACTAGAACCTATCTCGAGCTGTCGTCGAAACGTTCTGTAGATTACGTGAAGAAGGTATTATCTACCGAGCGAATCGTCTCGTAAACTGGTGTGTTCGTCTGAACACGACGCTTTCCAACCTCGAAGTCGAGCAAAAGCAGTTAACGGGTAGAACTCTTTTGAATATTCCTGGATATGGTCCGACGGAGAAATTTGAATTTGGTGTCATCACCTCGTTTGCGTATCCCATTGAAGGATCGGATGAGAAGATTATCGTTGCTACTACTCGTCCTGAGACGATGCTTGGTGATACGGCTGTTGCTGTGCACCCGGACGATCCACGATACAAGGTATGTTCGATGCCCCATCAATTAATAGTCATTCTGCAACCTTTAGTCGTAGCATCTACACGGCAAATTCGCTCGCCATCCCTTCATCGACCGACGTCTACCCATCGTCACAGACGCCGAGGCAGTCGACATGGAATTCGGAACCGGTGCAGTCAAGATCACACCTGCACACGACCCAAACGACTACGAAGTTGGTAAACGACACAACCTCGAATTCATCAACATCATGAACGACGACGGCACCTTTAATTTAAATGCTGGTGAGCGCTTCGCGGGGATGAAACGTTTCCATGCACGTGTGGAAGTCGTCAAATCTTTGAAAGCTGCTGGGTTGTACATTGAGACGAAAGACAATCCGATGCAAATCCCGATATGCTCGAAGTCGGGAGATGTGATCGAACCCGTGTTGAAAGCGCAGTGGTGGGTTAACTGCAAGCCGCTCGCGGAAGAGGCTGTGAAACGGACTAGAGCGGGCGAACTCACGATTAACCCGAAGACATCGGAAGCAGAGTGGTATCGCTGGTTAGATGGTATCCAAGACTGGTGTATCTCACGCCAACTTTGGTGGGGACATCGTTGTCCGGCGTACTTCGTACGTATCGAGAGCCAGGAGCAGGATCGTTCAGACGACAAGAACTGGGTCGTGGGCCGCACGTTGGAAGAAGCTACTGAACGAGCTACCAAGCTTGCTGGGGTTGCCAAGTTCGTTCTAGAGCAAGATGAAGATGTGCTTGATACATGGTTCTCCTCTGGTCTATGGCCTTTCTCCATCTTAGGCTGGCCCTCGGAGACTGCAGATATCAAACACTACTATCCATCTTCAATGCTCGAGACGGGATGGGATATCATTTTCTTCTGGGTAGCACGAATGGTTCTCCTCGGTATCAAACTCACTGGACGCATGCCATTCAAAGAGGTCTTCTGCCATGCTATGATTCGCGATGCTCACGGACGTAAAATGAGCAAGTCCCTCGGGAATGTTATTGACCCGGTTGATGTCATCCAAGGTGTCTCACTCGAGAAGTTACACGAAATGCTTCTAGAGGGTAACCTCGATGAGAAGGAAATCGCGAAGGCGAAGCAGGGACAGAAGAAAGACTTCCCGAAGGGTATCCCGCAGTGCGGTACAGACGCTCTGCGATTCGCATTATGTGCATATACCAGTGGTGGTCGTGATATCAATTTGGAAATTCTGCGTGTTGAGGGGTACAGGAAGTTCTGTAACAAGATCTTCAATGCAACGAAGTTCGCGATGCTCAAGTTGGATGAGACTTTCGTTCCGGAACCTTTACCCAAGGTATGACATCAAACTGCCTGCTAGTTTAGACGCTCACCTCGAATCTGCTTAGCCGACTGGAAAGGAAAGCCTAGTTGAGAAATGGATTTTCCACAAGCTCAACATTGCAGCAGAGGATGTTAACAAGCATCTCACTGATCGCAACTTCATGGCTGCAACTACTGCAGTCTACAACTTCTGGCTCTACGAATTGTGTGACGTCTATATAGTAGGTCTCCTCATAATATTATTATTAGTAGGCGCTAACACTCCGAGCAGGAAGCAATGAAACCCATGACCGACGACAGCGCAGCTCTAGAAACTCGTCGCTCGGCGCAAAATACACTTTATACCTGTCTAGATTATGGTCTCCGACTGTTACATTCCTTCATGCCCTTCGTCACCGAAGAACTCTGGCAACGTCTGCCGAGGCGGCCGAATGACCCTACTCCATCCATCATGGTCTCCTCCTTCCCGGTCTTTGATAAGGCGTTTGTGTTTGACAAGGGAGAAAAGGACTTCGACCTCGTCTTCAGTTCCATCCGAACAGGCCGATCGCTTGCGGCGCAGTATAATATCCAGAGCGACATCAAATGTATGTTTCTACGCTTTTTCCTGTATCGTATGATGGACCGAGAACTAATAATTTTGGTTTTAGTATTCATTCTCGCTCAGACTGACGACGAGACGAAGCTCTTCGAAACACAAATCCCAACGATCATCACGCTTACTAAAGGCTGCAAAGGCGCACAGGTCGTTCGGAACGTGAATGACATCCCTGCAGGATGCGGCTCGGCCGTACTAACACCTACAGTTGCTGTGCATCTTCTCGTCCGAGTACGTACTTATCATTCCATCGATTCTTCCTTTTTCTGATATGAACTTTTCGAATTGTACAGGGTCTTGTGGATCTAGACGCAGAGATCGCGAAATGCGACAAGAAACTCGACCTGGCGACTCTCGCCGCCGATAAGATCCGAAAGATCATTGCAGTCCCCGACTACGAGTCCACTGTACCCGAAAACGTCCGTGCTGCGAATGCGGAGAAGCTGAAGACGTACGAGGCGGAGATCGAGACTCTGAGGCTTTCGAAGGAGTCATTCGCGAAGTTGAAGTGAGACGTAACGGGGATTAGATTGTTTAGGATTTGTGGTAGACAAGGACGTCAGCGATGCATGTACGTATAAGGTGATCTTTAGACGAATATTGGATGTGGTTGTTAGGCACATTCAATTTGTGCTGACCGAACACAACGCGTAGGATGTCAAGTTGGAAAAGGACGCCGAGCAAGAGGAAGCACAGCTGCTCCATGCTCCGCCATTTACCCTATTGCAACAAGTCATTACTCATGTGTCAAAGACTTCCGAGATAATCACAGAAATTTAAGGTATGATATTCGAAAAGATTGTCTACAACTTGAATTTAAAGGCCTAACGTACGATGGTACTATAAAGAAAAGCATCTTTTTTGTCTAAAATCCAAACATCTACAAATAAAATTCCAGGCTTTGAACACAAGGAAGATTAGCTGGTTCCACTGCAAATAAAAGGGTAACGGTATGAGTCAGACTGTCGCGGCGAATTAGAGATTACCATAAGTACTTGCCTTGTTCCCGTTCGGGTACATCAATTAGAATGGTATTCCTGCTGAGCTAGTATTGTGTGGGCGCTATACGTTCAAGGCCGTCCAGGTCATTTTCGGCTTGCTTAATTTCTTCCAATACTCGAACTCGGCGGGGATCACCTTCGGGAAGAAGGTCGAGGGCTGCGTAGTACATAGCTACAGCTTCACTTAGTTCGTCAACGCGTCCATATCGATAAAAGCGACAGACTAGAGCATCAGCAAGATGTGACAGTATATCGGGTCGGTGATGCCAGCCTTCGCCAGAAGAATCGCAAAGTGAAGACTGATACAGAATAATAGCTTCGTCGATGTCGCCAATCCCTCCAAAGCGAAGAAACCTATTATGCAATGCATAGGCAAACTTGCTTGACACCAAGAAGGATGGAAGGGAAGTTCCCTTGTAGGACTCTGCTATGAGACCATAAAAGACTATTGAGCGGTCCAGATCGAGTTTTTCCCCTCGTCTTTCAAATCGCATTACCAGCGAAGTAGCGAGCTCGTAGAATATCATGACTCGGTCAGGATCGCGGAGGCGGGCAGCCGGTCGGGTTATGGAGGACTGAAGCATATCGATGGAATCCTTGAAGTTCGTACCGAGTCCGCAGTAAGTGTCCAAGATCTCCGAGTAAGGCTAAGCAAGTGGGATCATCATCGGCATGGAAAGAAAGTGCAGCTCGAGTGTGCGAGATGAGCAGATCAAGCTCGTCTAAAGGTAGGTCTGCCGACATTGTGTTAACGGCGGCAAATCCTCCCCAAGCTCGAGTCTATTTAAATCATTTCTAGCGCTAACCGTTTTCCGATCACAACAAAGGGCATGATACAGCGAACTCTTGTCCATTGAGAAGAAAAGGATAAAGAGTCGCAAGACATAGAATCATAACACATAAAGGCGAACCCAATTCAACCCATTCAAGTTTGTTCCCGGAATGTACCATAAGGCAGCGTGGTCCATGAAGGTGGGCATGTTCTAGTTCTTGGTTGGTTATAAGGCGAAGCGGCGCATGGTGGACAGGATTCAAGCCAGAGTTGCCACGCTATAGTTGCTGATGTCCGGTCCCGGACCGCTCGGACTCGGTCCGGACGCAGGACTGGACTGATGGACCGGTCCTCTACAGTCCGGTCCTCATGGGTCCAGGAGAGGTCCGGTCCTGGGTCCATCATTTTGAGAAATTTCCCGGACCGATGGACTCGTCCGGACCCGGACTGGACTCCGGACCTGAATAACCTGAACTAATGTCTCAAATCTCGTTTCCCATATCTCTAGCTCACTATACTAAAACAGATCATACTCCTTTAAGGATCTTTGAATATTAGCTAGCACTTGCATAGTACA